TGGTGCTAAGGAATCGAACCCAGGGCCTCATGCATGCAAGGCAAGCGCTCTACCACTGAGCCACCTTCCCAGCCTCCAACTCACAATTCTTTGAAAAACCTTAGTTAGGTCATCCCTCTTCAGCCCGCTCCTGGGGAGGGAGGGCGCTTCTGTCTTACCCCAATAAAAATCCTAAGTGTGTGTGTGTGCACGCGCGCGCATATGTGAGCCAGTACTGGGGTTTGGACTCAGGGCCTGGGCGCTGTACCTCCCTGATCTCTTTTGCTTAAGGCAAAGCACTCTACCATTTGAGCCCCAGCTCCACTTATAGTTTTTTGGTGGTTAAGTGGAAATAAAAGTCTCGCAGACTATCCTGCCTGGGCTGGCTTCGAACCTAGAACCTCAGATCTTAATCTCTTGAGTAGCTAGGATTGTGCGCCCAGCTCACTGCAACTCTTGGTTGCGTTCTTTCTGTATTCCTGGTAGTTCTAACTTGCCAGCGGCGCCCAGCCTCGGGTCCTCACCAGAACTGTTTCCTAAGCCTTAAGCCCTCTCCCCACACATCAGGACTCGGCCGCAGGACCTGTCCATAGAGCAGCCCTGACTCTCCTCTCCTCTCCTCTTGCTGTGAGCGTGGAGTCTGGACATTGGGAATTTTCTGTCACTCACACTTGGGACATATCCGGCAGGGACGGGATCTGCGTCCCCGCTCACTTGTGGTGGTCTCTCCTGGAAGGCCCACAGCTTGGACGGGAGGCCTGGGCACGCCCCCTCGGTGGGCCCCTCTCGCGGGCTGGCTTCCTATCTCCAGCCTGGACCACTCCCCCCCACACACACCAGACTTTGCTCAAACACAGCTCCCTTTCCATTTGTGCTGTTGATTGTCTGCTCGGACAAAGGCTCCTTTCAGGGACATCAGAGGTTCAGCAAATAAATAAATGAATGAAGTCGTGGTGGAGGAAGAAGAGGTGGCAGGGCTGGGGCTCAGGCCCGCTTCCCCGTCAGCTGGCCCAGCCTGGGAGGGCCTGGGTACCAGAGGGAGCAACAGGCAGCCCAGGGCTTCTGCTGCGTTTGGGGTTGGGGTGCACGGCAGTGGCCAGGGTGCCCCGCAGGGGGACCCCGGGAGGCAGGGGCTGTCACGTGCTGTCCGAGTCCCCTCAGAGTGCAGGCGTGCTCTGGGCTAGGCAGGGCTGGATGGACTGCGTGCAGTTCCTGCGTGACTAGGTCAGGCACTCCCCGTGTGAGCTTCCTGGCGCCCCTGGCTGCAATGGTCAGGGCGATGCGTGCCCCCCCCCCGCAGACCTGGCTCTGAGGGGCTAGCAGGACTGGCTGGGGTCTCCCTCGGTCATCTTCCAGGGAGTCAGGAGCTGTCCTTTCTCCTGCGACCCCTGCTCTGTAGCGCAGAGGTTAGGGGATGCAGCTGAGCACAGGACGCCAGCCCTGAGTGGCTAGTCCATCGCCCGCGGGGAGCTTCCCGAAGGCCCAGTGCCGCCACTGTCCCCAAGACAAGCCCAGATGGGTCACACTCCGCCCAACCCCTCCAGCGGGGGCCGTCGAGGGTGGAGCGGCCTTGCTTGTGGGCGGGAACCCCTCTGTCTTCTCCTCCCGGGTCCCTAGTGCCTGGACAGGGTGAGAGGCCGGCAGGGCCATGGGCTGGGCGGTCAGGGTCAGGCCCACACCCTGGCCAGCGCTGTGTGGGACACGGATCAGGTGGAGCCGGGACTGGAGCTGCGGGGTGGAATGGCTGGGGACACCCGGAGGGCTCCCTGGAGGAGAGGCCAGGAAAAGCCCACAGGACAGAAGTGGCTGGGTCTGAGGGGATGCTCCAGCTGACTGGCCAGGACGGCTGGCCACTCCAGCCCAGGCCTGGCCAAGCCCCCAGGCAGCGCTGACTCCTGGCCATCCTGAGGACAACAGAGGCCGGCATTTAAATTCCAATTGAGTCAGCCAGAGTGGCCTGGGGCGTGAGAACAGGAGCCCCACCCCCCGCCCCAGCCCCGCCTGCCGCATTCCTGCCTCCCCGGAGATGGCTGCGGCCAGGCGGTCGCCAGGGGGCCGGAATGCAGCGCTCAATGGAAATGGACAAGGGCCCATTGAGCAGTGACGGGCAGGATTGAGCCGTCAGCACCCCGGCTCGGCTCGGGACCCCTTCTCCGCCCCACCCCCTACCCCAGCACGCCTGATGTCAGCCGCCGTGGACACCGCTGGCCCTCCCGCTGGCCCCAAGGCCGTCTCCCGAGCAGGTGTAGCTGTCCCCTGACTGCGGTGCCCTGACCAAGGGCTGGCCACTGGCTCTGGTCTCCTCTCCCTGCAGCCTTAATCCTGTCCTGTCCGCTGCTACCCATGACCAGAGGAATTAACCCCTCTCAGCCTCAGGGCCGGGGGCCGCTCCTCCCCTTGCCTTGCCTGTTCTCCTGTCTGATCTGGTCCTGTCTGGTTTTCCCCAGCGGTTCTGGACCCCCTTCCCCTGCTCTGCTCAGCAGCTGTGGGGAGCCACACAGGCTTGGGTTAGCGGGTGCGTGGCCAGGGCCCTGTCCCAGACCCTGGGTCCCGGAGCTCCAGGAAGCCCATGAGGCCGCAAGCCAGTGATGCTGGAGGGGGTGCCTGGGTGGCAGCGCTGCCCTGGCCTCCCCGAGTCCTGAGGACGGAGGCCCATTCAGTGAGGGCACCCGGAGGCCCTCAGAGCTCCGTCTCTCTACTTCGTGGCCTGTTCTTGGTTGTCTGCCCGCCCGCCGGGGCCGTGATGGACAGCTGTGGGTCTGAGCAGTCTCTACCAGCATCCCCTCTTGCGGGCAGGGCCCGCTGCAGGCCTGGTTCGATCAGTTCAGCGGGCTCTGCCCACCTGTGGGCCTGGCGGGGGGGAGGGGTACCCAGGGGTGAGGAGAGCTGCACCCCCCGGCCACCGCCGGGCCCCAACACTGCCTGCTTACACAGTGTCCAGGCCCAGCAGTGGCCGCCCGCCACCATCCATTCTGGGAAGGACAGGACCTGTTCTGCTCGGATGAGCTCCAGGGCCGTGCACAACGCTGTGCCCACAGAAAGGGCTGCCGTGGTTGTAGATGAGTGAGAGGAGTAAGACAGTGCCGGAGGAGTAAGAGAGTGAATGACCTCAGAGGGAAAGGGGTCAGGTGGGGAAACAGGAGATGGGAGGTGGCCCTGCTCATGGGAGTGGATTCATTACTGACTGTGACCCTCTGCGTGTCACCCTTACCATAAAAAAAAAAACAAGGGCCGGGAAGGTGGCTCAGTGGTGGAGCGCTTGCCTGGCATGCATGAGGCCCTGGGCTCGATTCCTCAGCATCACACACACTGAAAAAGCTGGAAGTGGCGCTGTGGCTCAAGTGGTAGAGCGCTCGCCTTGAGCTGAGGGACAGCGCCTAGGCCCCAAGACCAACAAAAAAGTGAAAAATAAAGAGAATGAGTAAACGAGTGAGTGAGAAATAAGTGAATGAGGGATGGATGGGAGTGAGCGTGGATGAGCAACGGCTGCGTGGACACGGGGCTGATTCCAAATGGACAGGTGTGGAGCTTAGGGGGTGTCCGTGGGGGCGGGGCTGGCGGCACTCAGCAGTGAGGCCCAGGTCTGAACCGCCGGCCATGCGGGGCCTGGGCTGGCCACGCACCCGGCCAGTGAGGCCTCTGCTCAGTATGGCTGACAGAGCAGCTCTGGGCTCCGGGAGTGGTGTCGGCAGGCGGGGGCTCCTGGGAGGCCGGGGCTCTGTGCGGCGTCCGTCCTGCTCCACAGCCAGCCAGGGGTGGCACCGTGCAGCCTGTTGCAGAAGACACGCTGCGGGCGGCCACGCCAGGAGCTGCATCTCAGGACGCCCACCATGCCCAGGGGTGCTCAAGCTCCCGGGCTATCCAGCGGGGGCCGCCTAAGAGCCCAGGCCAGCTATAGACCCAGGCTATGGGGTCCCTTTAGACCCCCATGCCTTAGCATGGGAGGCACACTGGAGGGACGGACGGTCTCAGGCTTGGGCCCCAGGGCCACGCGTGACCACAGAAGCCTCCCAGAGGGGACAGGCAGGGCGCAGGGACTGAGCAGGATGGAGCTCTGAGAGAGAACCCCTAGCAAAGGCCCTGAGGCAAAGGACACACGTGTCTGAGGAAGCAGTGTGAAGGGGAGCTAAGGTGGACCAAGAGAAAGTTCTAGAGGCCTTGGCTGTGAGCACAGCCCAGGAGCCACCAGGCTGTGATGTTCCTACCCGGATGCACAGGCCCTGGCCACCTGTGGGCGCTGTGGGACGAGCCACTGAGGGCCCCGAGGCCGTCACGGAGCCGCCAGGGCGGCCGCAGGGCGGGACCCCTAGGCAGCTTTGGGGAGACAAGGCAGGCAGGCGGAGGCGCTGGCCGCGTCCTCCTCCGGCTTGAGCTCATGCCTAGCGCCTGACTGAGGGAGGTTCTGCCAGGACTCCGCGCTGGGGCGGCAGAGCCAGCCACGCCCACCCTGCGCCTCTGCCGCGCTGCCCCCGGCGGGCTCAGGGCCAAGGTGGAGCAGGACCCGGTGCTGCCCACAGGGCCTGCGGCCCCGCTCCCGGTGGACAGACCAAGGCTGTCTCTCTCCCTGCCCAGGGCTCTGAGACGCTTTCGTTTTCTTGTCCTGCACGAGGCGGATGTGTAAAGGCTATGCCTTCGAGTGGCTGCGCGGGGCCGCGTCTGCTTTCCATCCGGACACTTCCAATGTCGCAGCCCGGGGCCAGGCCGGGCACAGCCGCCCCACCCCACAGCCGCGGGTTGACCGGGGCCAGGACCCAGCCTGGCGGTGTGTGCGCATGACCTGTGTTTGCACAGCGAGCCTCAGACACCACGTTCCCATGCACACACACACACACACACACACACACACACACACACACACACACACCACTTGCTGGACATGAGTTCCGTCCACCTCAAAGGCAAGGGCACTTATCTGAGCCCTCAGCTGCACCCCAAGAGTGTCCCAGATGTTGGCAGAGCTGCAATGGCAGGAGCAGGCAGGGGTGGGGCGCGGCAGGGTTGAGGGAGCCGTGGGGGCGGGCATGGGGCGTGGGGCGCTTCGGGACCGGGGGAGTCCCCGGGAGCGGGCACAGGCTGCGGGGGTGCGGAGGCTGCGCATGCCCCACACGGGTCCCTCCAAGTATGGGGGGCGGGCACCTGGATGCGGGTGTCGGGGGGTGCGAAGGCCTCAGTCCCTTGACTTTGCTCACTGAGTCCTCTGCAGTCCCCCCCACACGCCTTGTGGGCCCGCCCCAGCTCCAGCTGGCAACAGCTGGCAACATCTGGAGGCCATGCAGCCCTGGTGTCAGCGCCGGCGCCGGCGTCTACTGCAAGGCTGCAGCTGGGCCTGTGCCCCCCCCCCGTGCTCTGTGCCCGGCGGGTGTCCTTGGGGTGCGGCTGGGCGGGGCCAGGGGACACTGGTGAAGCTGTCCCCACCTGCTCCAGGACTGGAAGCTGGCCCTGAGTTTTCTGTCTCTGTTTGAACCCCCTCCATGGACTTCAAAACAAAAAAAAACCCTAGAATGCTGGGTCTTGCTGTCCCGACTGAGCACCCTGACTGCCCCATGGGGCCAGGGGCCAGAGCTGGAAGCAGAGCCCCTGGGAGCCGCCCTGAGGCCAGGCTGTGGTGGGGCGGGCTGGCACCCACTGCGGCCCCCTTGCTGGCTAGCTTGTGGCCCTGGGGTCACCCAGGAAGAGCCAACCTTGGGCTCCAGCCCAGGCTTCTGACACCCTAACCTCACCTCCCCTTCCCACAGGGTCCTGAGAGTCCCTGAGTAAGCCCAGCCACGGTGGCCTCTGGAGAGGAAGGGCACTGAGCAGCCGCCCTCGCTCCGGGGGCCCTGGCAGCCCAGCTGTTGCAGAGCCGAGGGTGGTGGGTATCACAGGCCCCACAAGCCTTCCTGGAGGCCCATCCTCATGATCACAAGTGACGTTGCTCAGGGCCAGACCCAGGCTGGGTGCAGGAGGGTGCTGAGCCCAAAAGGAGCTTGGTGGTAGGGGAGCATGCGGGGCCGGGCACCGGGGACTCTGACATGCAGGTCCGAGTCTCCGAGGCCAGCAGCGCCCAGTGCTCTCCACACGGAGGCCTCCAGAGATGCGCCCAGCACCCTTCTGAACCTGCCCAAGTCGGGCTGGCCATCCTCACCCCGGGGTGGGGGCGGGGGTGCAGAGCCAGCCAGGAGAACCTGCACGGCAGGGCCCTGGGGAGCCGGGGGCGCGGCCCATCGAGTCTCCACCTGCCCGACCAGCCCAGTTCCGGCATTACCTGTTCTGTGAGCTCAGTAGCAGTCAGTGGAAGCCTTTAAGCCCTTGACAAGAAGAACACGGTGTCTTGTGTGTGTTGTGCATGTGTAGTGTGTGTGTGTGTGTGTGTGTGCGCGCGCGTGTGCACAGCACCGTGTGGGGGAGCCCAGAGAGCCCCCTCGGGGGCCCGTCCTGCAGGGCAGGGTGGGGGAGGGGATGCGCTCCTGAGAGTGGACACGGAGCTTGGGGTGGGAGGAAGTTGTGCCTCTGGGCGGCTGAGGCCCCAGCAGGGCTGTGCTCTCCTAGCCCACAGGGCAGGACGTGAGGGGGCAGGGGTCCCCGGGTCCCCGGTGGGAAGAGGCACTCCCACAGTTGGCAGTCCAGCAACCCCGCCCAGCAGCCCTGCGGGTGGGCAAGCCAGCAAGCCCACACCTGTTGCGGACAGATGGTGGCCCCAAGACAAGGCTCGGAGCAGGCCAGAGGCAGGGGCGTGACTCTAGGGAAAGGCGCCAGACAGGAAAGTCCCCCTGCCCCGTGTACCCTTCCCCAACCCTGAGCCCGGGGCCCAGCCCTGAGGGCTTCACAGCCAGAAGGGTAAACTGATCCTGGGGAAGCCACCAAGTGGGGTTGGCCCCAGGACCACAGGGACAGTCCTTGGGGAGTGCAGGAGGAATCCGTGGGGGGAGGGGTCACGATGGGGGAAGGGCACGGGACAGACCCCCTGGGGTGGCCCTTCTGCTCCTGCCGCATGCCTCCAGCTCAGTCTACCAGTGCTCGCTCACCTCCCGAACCCCAAGGGCACGGGGCCTGGGAGGGAGGCCATTCGTGAGCTAACCAGGTAACTGGGTTTCCCACTGGGAGCCTGGCTAGCCTGGCCAGGGCGCTGGGCACAGTTGTCCTGAGCCAGGTCAGCGGTGTGGAGGAGGGGTCCCAGGGGCTTCAGCTGAGCCACAGTGCCCTCAAGGTGACCACACATGAGCACGCACACGCACGCGTGCACGCACACACACGCGTGCACGCACACGTGCAGGCGGGTGGCACCCGGCTGCCTGAGGGGAGGCCCGGTGGGGTGAGGCCAGGCTGGGTGCCGGCAGAGGGCTTGCCCAGCCTTGCTCTGACCCAGTTTTCCAGGCACGACACGGCCCCCATGCCTGGGCGGGGGGCGCGGCCAGCACTGGCCGTGGGGCTCCCCCAGCTTCTCTGGGGCTCTGGGCCCACCACAGCCAGCCCCCCTTGGTGCTGGTCTCCACATAGACAGGGCAGACTCCCTCCCGGGAC